CGGAAATGTTTCGGATATGGGGAGCGAAATTTGCATGACATTACACTTCAGTAGAATATATGGTGTCTATGTGTTTGGATGACCATTGTTATATACTTGTCACTGTAGTTGTTGTCATGTACCCATATGTTATGATCCCATTTTCTTTACCTATTCCTTACGTGGATTCACGGGGTCATAAGAAGTGTGTATTAGACACTTCCTACTGAGCGTTTAGCTCACCCCATTATTTTAATATTTTCAGGTTCGGGAAAAGAAGTGGCGGACGACCATCCACTACAGCTTTAGCTTAGATTAGGAGAATGTATATTTTGCTACCTTTTGTATTAGAACTCATTTTGTAAGATGTTGACCCAAATGTACCATTTCACAGCATGTGAAATATTCAGGTTCATTTTGTATATGGCCATTGTGGAGTTGTAATTATACTTATTTACACTAAATCATTTTTCATGTAACGTGTTGTAAATTATGTTAATATTGTTGTTGTTGTTAATGTATTAGATGTTAAAATGTATTCAAATATGTACGTGGGTATGGTGTTTAGGATGATTGGTTATCAATGTTGGTGTATCTCGGACAGTGAAAAATTTTGAGTTTGGATAACCCACAACCGGTCAACGTAAAATTCCCACACGTCGACCGGATAACCTGAACCAGTAGACGTGTAGCCTCCCACACGTCGACTGGTATCTTGGCAGTAGCTATTTCACTGTGCATGACCTGAACCAGTCGACATGTAGCCTCCCATATGTCGACCGGTATCTTGGCAGTGGGCAATGTCACTGTGCGTGACCCAAACCACTTGACGTGTAATACGTACACATCGACCAGTTCCTGTTCCATACATTTTTTGTTTAGTTTCCCTAATTATCTTTTTATTCAAAGTTACGAGTATTTATTTTAGGACCCAATAAAATTCAATAATTATTTTTTTTTTATCACAGAAAAGACTAAATTGCCCCGAACTCTATTTTATTTATTAAGTGACATAAGTAAATGCCCTTTGAATCTCATACTGTTAGACTTGTGGCAAATGATCATTTTGTCCTTGTTGGGTTTTAATATACAAATTTAACGTGAAAGGACCATATTAACCTTGGATGACTTTGGGTCGGATAAAGATCCATTTAACGATCCGGACTTAGTGGATTTGGGTCGTTACAAGACACCACGCCAAATGGTCAACCACACAAACTACACTCTACGACAACTACAAAACAGTGGTCACTTATTCGTATCTAACTGGACACTCAAGTCATACCTATAACTGACCTATCTGACCAAACAAAAGGGTACACAACTCCTACGCCCCTAACACAATCATTCTCCAACCAATCGCTATAACTACCATACAACTCAACGGAATGTCCACATCGATTTCATTTAAGTTATGTGCCTGCAGCTAGCCCAGTGTGGTAGCCTCCTGGTGCCACCTGTATAAGCTCACGCACACCCGCCCACAGGGCCACAAAACAAAAAAAAATGAAATAGAACAGGCCACCAAGCTCAAGAGGTCACTCCTCATCCTAGCTCAACACAATCTGTGACCAACACTCTATGGTCACCAAACAACATCACATTAAGCTTCTGCCTTCCTCACTGGAAATCAAAACAAAAGGTGCAACCTACTCATCTCGTCACTAACTCAAAGTCAACCTCAACTCTTATTCCTAAGACGGCAATCTAAAAGACAAACTCTCAACCTTAACATCAGTGAACTTCTAAGTAAAAATCCAAATACAAATCTTATTCAACCCGTACAACACCTGAACCTTACAAGCCATACACTACATACCACCTCACGTCCTTTGACATCTAATCAACTTTGTTTACATGAAAGGGTCCCATGACTCACACACCATACTCTACTAACCCATCATCCCAAGAGTTCACTCACTACACCAAGAAAACACAACACAAACTCTCGCCCGTTCAAGCGTTCAAGAAAATAAGAACTTCCGTCCCGGAAGACACCTAAGATCAAACCCTATCACCGTTACCAGTCTCTAGGGAAAGGACTCCTAATGGAACCTTGTCATTTTAGTATGCTTTAAAAATTTAACCATGGAATTAATCTCATAAATATTGTCACTTATCATTAAATACTTAAGCATGCTTTAATTCAATAAATAATTAACACCTAAACAGATAAGTAAGTAAATAATTAGGCATGTATTTCAAAAAAATTAAACACTTAGCACATAAGCATATAAACATGCAATTTCACTTCCCATGCAATCCTAGGTAGGCCTCTACTCGTCATCCTAATGGTATTCGAACCATTTCTCTAATACCATCTTTGTCACAACCCTAAACTGATATCATTTATAAAAAAAAAAAATTTCGGCATAACCTTTGCTAAAAAGAGGCCTACAACAACCTGTTAAACAAAAAAATTCAATGCAATGGCCTTTCTTGGCCTATCCAACCTGACCCAACACACAATACAAAAAAAATTATAATACATTCCCTAATACCACAACATCAACAACCTCCCCAAATTAGCCCATCATCGTCATTCCATTCAACTTAAGCATTTACATAGTCTCGCTTTCCTTCAAAATACCAACAAAAGTTATGATTTATAATACATGACATTGGCTTGCAAAAATGAATACACGACATTCTAGTTTTGAAATTATACAAAAAAAAAAAAAAAAAAAAATGGGCTAAGATATAAAAGATAACAAAATACAACTCTTAATCTTCTTCAAGCTTACAGGGGATTGTCATCCGCCATTTCTTTTCCGAGTCCTGAAAAATGTTAAATAATGGGATGAGCAAAAAGCTCGATAGGTGGTACCTAAGACGTACCTCTTGTGACCCCGTGAACCCAAATAATGAATAGGACAATAGGGAGAAGGTTCACGCTAAACCGGGGAAAATACAATGTAAATCTGCAAGCTCAGTAGGTGGTACCTAGGATTGGCTATTGTCCCTGACCTTTGGTACCTCCGCAGCGTCATTTGGGGCCCAAATAGCTCAACCACGCTAAGACAATCTCTCTAATTCCCTCTAGGCTATATTAACACACCAGCCCTTTGATGACTCCGCGGCGACCGGGTTTTCTCAAAACCGTTTCATCAAATTCTCCCCAAAAATCCCCTTTTTCAATCTTATCAAATCATTGTACCATTTTCATGCTCATGCTATGAATGCATATCACATGCCCTTTTAATACTATGAAAATTAAGAGAATTATTATCACACAATTAACATACTTCCACATAAAATTTTCAATAAATTATTAAGCATCATAGGCATGGAAAAATTAACATATTAAGCATACTTTACAATAATTCTAAGAAAATTTTCATAAGCTTCCATATATCATTTCTAGCAATTTTGTCGACACAATAACATAAAGAAATTACAATAATTCTAAGAAAATTTCCATAAGCTTCCATGTATCATTTTTAGCAATTTTGTCAACACAATAACATAAAGAAATTAATAATGAAACATGATTTTCATACAAATCAACAATTACACATATAATCATGAACTTTATACCCACAATAAAATCATTCTAGAGGTAATTAATTTCAATTAAGCATGTTGGCATCAAATAATAAGAATTGACTCACAAATGAACAGGGAAATGCAAATTAGAGACCCCTACCTCAATTTTATGCAAAACCCCCCCATTTTTTTTCACCTTAAACCCTATGATTTCGAATTTCCTATGGTACACCATGGAATTGCTCCTATCAATTTATAGGTCTCACCGTGAGCTTCAATTTGCCGCAAACGGCACTTATAAATACCAAAAATTGAGAGAGGAATTAAGGATTGAAGCCTTGAAGTGAAAAAAAAAAAAAAAAAAAAAAAAAAAAAAAAAATTGAAAGCTGAGAGTACCAGAGAGCAGCGGGAGAGAAAGAGAGAAATGAGACTAGAGATGGTTTCTTGACCATTAAAAATAAAGGAAGGGTGGCCCCACCATTTTTTTTTTTTTTATTTTCTCTTTTTCTTTTACTTTAATTTACACCACGCATAAACATATATACACATGCACACATAATAATTTACAATCACATAAAATATATTAAATAAAATGTCTGGAATGCTAATGGACCCGATAAAAATTTCCGTATGCAAAAATTCCGGTAGCGGGTCCCACACTGGACCGTCCGGTCCGAAAAATTAAAAAATGCCAAAATAATCACCCCTACATTTCAAAGAGTCCTGAACTCAATGAAATGTCCCAAACAATTCTAGGACATAACCGGCACACTTCACAGTGTCCGGTACGCAAAATGACAAAAAACGAAAATGTTCTTGCGACTACAAAAATTCTGAAAAAATAAAAAATAGTGAAAATCGAAAACATCACATCACCGTCCCAAACATGACACATATTGATTTTGTTTATAGTTTTTCTAATCTTGATTTAATACCACTAACTCAAATCTCCTAAATGAAGATTAAGTGACTTATTGCTTATCTATTAAACTCAATTACTAAATGTTATCATAATTTCAGTTTTTATTGCAAAAAAAAATAATAATAATAATATAAAAAAATTGCTTTGGTTTTACTGTAAGTTGTTCACTTCTAGATGACACTATTTTTTAAGGAGAGAGAAATCAAAGCATGATAACACTATTTTTGAAGGACAGAGAAATCAAACCTTGTTATATTTCTATAGTGAGGCTAAAAGAGGGAGCAAAGTGAGAGGTTCGCTAACAAACAGTGCGTAGAGAAAATATGTAGAAGGACAAATATGTAATTTCAGTTATTGAAGAGAAAAGAATGGATCGAGATTGTATGTTTTGCCACCTAGAATCTTGTATCTAATATTTTTCAGGCATAAACATCAAATTAGATGGTTGTGCTTTCATAACTTTGGAGAACATATATATCTTAAATCAAATAGATTCAACCTATATGCATATCAAAAACTCAGATCATACCATCTAAAGCCTATTAGTTATAATGTAATTGTTCTCAAATTAATGGAAAACAAAACGCTGAAACTCAATTTTGCATGCCAAAGGAGCCCAAAAATATACTAGAATTAAACCATAAAAGAGTTGCAACAACATACCCTTACCAAAAAAAAAAACACATACATACATACATCACACCGGCCGTGAACACAAACTTGCCGGTACAAAACTACAAAGATGACACTCTCATCTCATGAAATCTTAAAAAAAGAAAAAAAAAAAAAAAAAAACATTAAACATTACCAAACACTCCCGTTTATTCCACATCACTTCAAACCAAAAACTGCCACTACCAAAATCACCACCATTTAACCAGAGATTTCGATGGGCTTAGTCTCAGGTTTATTCACCTCTTCTTTGGGGACAACCACAGTGAGCACACCATTCTCCATGGTGGCCTTGATCTGATCCATCTTTACATTTTCCGGCAGCCTGAACCGACGGATGAAATTGCCGGTGCTCCTCTCAACGCGGTGCCACTTGTCGTTCTTCTCCTCATGCTCTACTTTCCTCTCTCCGCTGATCTGAAGAACCCTTCCATCTTCCACCTCCACTTTCACTTCCTCCTTCTTCAGCCCGGGAAGATCAGCCTTGAAAACGTGAGCTTCTGGAGTCTCCTTCCAGTCGACGCGGGCGTTCACAATAGCAGAGGCATCACGCGCCGCCGCGTTGTGGACGTTGGCTACTGCGCCCGAAAAGCCTTCGAAGGGGTCCCAAATGTCGAGAGAGAAGGGATCGAAGACGTTGCTTCGCCGGCCACCACCGAAGATGCTTGGAATGAGCGCCATTTCTGAACAAACAAAGTTTTTTTTTCTTGAAAGAAGAGATATTTTAGGGAGAAGTAAAGTGATTTGGATGAGTGTATATGATGAAAGTGGGTGTAGTTGAGGAGGATATATAGAAGGAAGAGGATGAGTGGAGTACAATCTGATGGAGTCTAGTACTTTCTCGGTTCTTCTAACCCACTTTTCTTCTTCTGTAACCTTCTACAACTTTCCTTCTTTTGTCCATTTCAAAACATGGGCCTTTGGAATGGAAAAAAATGGCCCAATACTCTTTTTGATGATAACATTAGTCCATGTACCCCGGCCCCAAATGCGAGGTACAGACTATATATACTCCGTTTGGTAACTGCTTTTATTTCGCGAAAGTGTAATGTAACAAAATAAAACACGAAAACATGGTTGGTAAGATTTGTTTGCTACCATTTGAATAGAATCAAAATATTTCCGAAAAAGAGGCCCACAGAAGTACCAAATTGGTGTTTCTTGTTGCTTCCACACTGTAGCGATGAATAGTAAAAAAAAACCTCTTGAATAACCCTTTTAACTAGCCATTTTATTTTAAAACTTGAAACACTTTATTACTATATGTTATCAAATATGCTTCCAAATAACATTGAACACCCTTTAAAACAAAAATATTGCACGAAATGAAAACAGTTAACAAATAGGCCCTTAATGTTCCAATTTATCAATTGGAACAATTGGAACTAAGGGCATGACGAGAGTTTTTATTTGTGTTTTGAATTTTTTTTTTTCTCCAACAAAGAAAAAGAGCAAGTGTAGTATTATTAATCTCCATTAGTTAAAAAATTGCTGTTCTACTAATTCCAGGTACAGCATCTTTCGAAGTGAACTTGAACCCCCTCGATCTTCAACCTTATTAGAAAGGTTGAAGAGGCAACACTAGAACCAATGTCTGCTCAAAGTTAAATGAGGTAGTTTTTGCTATGAGCCTGTCGCATTGAACAGCTGATAATTGCAGCTAACATATTTCTTAATATCAAGCAAGACAATTTTTAGAGGTCAACCATATCACTCAAAACACATATTAATCGTCTATGCTATATAATTGATAAAATTACAACCATCAAAAATTACAGTGCTCTGTCTTGTATATTGAGCTAATCAATCTGTGTTTCTGTAATTAAGAACCAATGTCTGCTCGTGTGAGAAGAATTGGTCTAAGAATTAAACAGGCAAACAATTCCGCATGAGCTCTCAGTCCCAGATCATCACCACCGCAATCACTCCAATGCCCAACGAAACAGCCAAAAACTTGTAATGTGGAGCATCGACCAACGACAACTTCTGGGGTGTGTAACCCTTAGATAGCAGATGGTTTATGGACACATAGATGAACACACCACAAGCTAGACCCATTGATATGGCGTAAATCCAGTCTGCCACAGCACCCTGAGTTGTGGAGTCTATTATGATTCCAATGGCCACACCGATTGGACTTGAAATGGCAAATGCAAAGGAATAGGCTGCACATGATAAGAGGGGACGGTCTGGAATCATCCTGAGGAGAGCTATTCCCATTGCAATGGCTGCAAATATCTTGTGCAGACAGACTGTCCAGAGAGCTTTCCAAGCATCGGCTTTTGTCTCTGCGACTCCAATCGCAATGCCCTCAAAAACAGAGTGGAAACACAAGGCAACAATCAACAGGATGCTATCTCCAAGTGAACTAGCAGTTGCAAGCGGGACTTTTTGAAGATGACCATCTGTGTTTTCATGGAACTATAAAGCAAATAAATAGGAACTCGGGTTTAGTTACATCACAAGTACTTCCCAAAATATTAACTCTGACAAATTAGGAGTGAACGAATCAGAATCAACAAACCTGCAACTGTGATTGTGAAGTCCTCTCATCGGGATTGCTTTTACCATTCTGAACACCTCCTGTACCAATGAGAATGTATATCAAGTAATCTTTTGGACAATCAAACAGTGTCACGTCCTTTTTTGAACTAAACATAACATGTCTTGAATGTTTTAAGTTCCTATTTCAAGACCTTGTTAAAGCAATTCAATTAACTTTAGCCAATTTCTTCTGTCAAAACAGCTTATAGGTTACATCTTTATGCTCATCTATAATTGAGACTTCTTCTTAATTCAATATTACTTATGTTAAAATTAGAACAGCCACTAACCAATAAGAAGAAGGGTTAAGAAAAAAATAAGAAGAGAAAGAGAAACCTTCAACTGAATAGACTGCATTGATTGTTTTTCCAAGATAAACAATCTATACTACAGTACAAGGCTATGTTTACTCACCAGTCAAAAAACACTATAAGACATAGCCCATTAAGCTGGCAGAATCAAGTTACCTAATCGAAGACATTCAAAAAACAAGGAACTTAGTATGTTCTACAACTTTGCAAGCATGGCTTTTCGTAGTCATTGTGTCGCACCTACACCTACTACTGTTTCTCACTTTAGTAATGAAAGAGGCTATAAAGAGGGCGCTCTTACCGAGCTCCTCAGTCTCTTGGTCCAACGGCCATGAGAACACAAGACCAGTGAAAGCACCCTTACGAGTTATGATGGACTTGGTCTTTAATAAGAAGCCAAATTATCCAACTTAAAATACAACTACCATCGTATAAACTTATAATCTAGAAGCAAAGAAAAATAGTGAAACACACAATCAAGTGCCCGACATTTCCTCCCTTGAAACCAAAATCCCTAGGCTTTGTTTGGTGGCTGAGAGAACATATGCAAGGAAAAAAAGATTATAATTGTACCCCAGAAACCAAAACAACCCAACTGAACATAAAGCAACTGCAGGTATAATTTTGATTTAAATCTCCAGTGCTTAACAGAACCAAAGCACTTGGACAAATAATTCTCTTTTCTTTTCCTCTGTTTTTATCACCAATCAGACAGCATGTATTAGTACTATATTCATAAAAAATAATAATAAAATCCTAAAATGCTATTAAAGCACTTGAGAGATGAAAAAAAAAAAAAAAAAGAAAGGGCAAATTTTAAACCAGCTGCATGCCTGTATATGAACACCTATATAAATATATAAACTTGAAAAAGAACCCTTAAAGCACAAACTTGAAGCTTGACATCAACGTTAGATCCAATCTTCTGCTTACCATAAACATAAGAAATGACACAATCAGCAAGCATAGTGAGCAAAAAGCCACCACTCGCCAACATGAAAGCAAATGGATACGCTTTACTGGTCAAATCCCCAAAAGTTTCGTTCGAATCACTCAGGAAATGCATCAAAGCTGTACCCAAGAACACTCCGCCGGCGAATTGCGTCCCGACCACCAGAAACCCCTCATTCCATTTCATGAAGTACGGCGATATACCTCCAATGAAGGTTCCGACAAACACGAGAATTAAACACCATATCTTTACCAGAATTAATGGCCTTGATCGGAGGTTGGAGTTGTTGGAAGACGATGAGTCATCATGGGCATCGCCGCCGAGGCGGAAAGGATGAGAAAGAGGAATAGAGAGAGGAAAAGAAGAGGTCTTGCCATTGGAATTGAAGAGGGAGGGATGAGCCATTTGAAGGAACTATTAGGATTTTAAATAGGATTAGGTGATGAATGTCGAATGATTTTGGCACTGTTTTAATTGTACTACAAAGGGAGAGAGAGTACTGCAAAGACGGCAGAAGACGGCAGAATAGAGAGAGAGAGAGAGATAGTACTGCAAAGAAGACAAAATTAGAAAAGTGTACTAACATATAACAACGGGTTTGAGGTGAAGTACTAAGAAATGAGTATTTTTAAATACTCATTTCTTTTAACAATCATTGGAATAATATTAGTTTTCATTTATTATTCACATCAGTTGCTTTGATTACTTGTTTCTGATGAAAACAAATCACTGCTGGCACATTTAATTTATTTGGGAAATTGTACTTTAAATTTATCACAAAACTGTGGTATCCCATACCATTCAAATTTCAAAAGGTATTTTTACAATGGATTCAATTATGATATTAGAATTTTGATTTATGAAAATTTATCCTTTATTCCATTATCATCCTTGTCTTTGTCTCATATGAATATTATTCATTATTTTCCTATTATAAACCATCCTCCTGCCATTTTTAAGAAACAATATACATAGCTACTATCAAATGAATGATGTCAATTTATTTTATTAAATAGTTGGAAAAGAAAATTCAATTTCTTTAAGCTGTTAAAATTAATTTGATAAATTTATGTTATTGAAATGATTTCTGAAGAAATCTCAATTTAAAAGCACACATTGGGTTTCACTGTTCAATCTAGCAACAGAACTTCTGATCTCATTTACTAATGAAGTTAACTAAGATGTACGCGGTTTTGCTGTGATTCGTGTGAGGAGGCTGTTTCGAACCTATGACCTTCAGATCACACTAAAATAATCTTACCGTTGCGCCAAAACCCGCCCTCTCTTGCTATGGAATCTTAATTATTAATTAATGTTCACACATTTATTTCTTGCTATCGACCGCATCTACCTATCCCCCTATTCAGATCACCAGAGAACAATACTAGCTTTTAGTTGAGGGGTAGAACTTCAGTAAAACAGAACTGATGATCAAGCATTGCTCCCAGAAATTAACAGCCTTTGATCTTTGCACTCTTCATCATTCCCAACCAGTGAACAACTCATGTTTAACATATTTTGGGGATAGACGTACCTACAAGAAAACCCCCGAGTGGGCCCACTGAATTCACTTCAACTTTACATTCACGCTGGGATAGACAAAAGCAATACATTCACATTGGCTGAGGGAGACCTTCCACTCATGCAATAAGGTTTGCAGATATTGATCTACAAAATAGCTCCCAAGAAATATCAACTTTTCCTGCTTTACACAACATTTCAGTGATGCAATTAAAGATACCGATCCTTGGTTCAACCCATTATTTTCAAGAGTTCAAAACAATAGCACTCGCTTTACAAAGCAATTGTTCTTGCAAAGCCCATCTAAGAATTCGTTATACGTCCACATATTCGGTGTCAGGTCATGAATCTGCTTTTCACCAAAATGTTTTGAGCATTACCCTACTTTACCTTCCAATATAGACCAGTTAATAAGCTATTTGATTGGCAATAATGTAGGCAAATAAAGCCCCATTGCTTCCTCTATCCTCCCACTCTTGCAATACCCATAGATCAACAAATTTTAACTAATAAAATCATTTTCATGGCACTTCTATTTGTTGCCACGAAAACAAACAACTCTCCCTATCATCATGACACTACCCTCCAAACAAAAAAGACTATATTTAAAAAGAAATTGGGTTCCTCACATCTCTGAATTGTCAATTCTACTAGGTATTTGTTTTCTTAAATCTCTCCATCCTTGCAAATTGCATTTATCAACAATTATCCTAGGATAAATGTCTTGAGCCCCATTTCATTGAAGAACCCTTTGGCCACTTCCAGCTTACCCAGATGCCAGAAACCATGAATCAGCTTGGCCAAGTTCTTCTGTCAAATCAGCTCATAGGTACATCTTTATGTCATCAGAAACTGAGACCTTCTTCTCAATTCAGTATTTCCTAGATTAAAATTAGAACAACCACTAACTATTAAGAAGGGAAAGAAAAACGTCAACTGAATAGCACTGCATAGATTATTTTTTCATGATAAACAATCTATACTACAGTACAAGGCTATGTCTATCAGAAGTCAAAAAAACAAAACATGACATAGCCACTAAGCTGAAAATTTTAATATCTTGTGGAAAACATTTAAAACAGTTTTAGTAATGCTCAAAGAAGGGGAGAGAAAGAAAAACAAGGAACTAAGTATGTTCTCCAACTTTGCAAACAAGGCTTTTTGTTGTTGTAGAGTTGCACAATAATAACAAGCTAATAACTTTCTCACTTTAGTAATGGGAAAATCACACTCTACACAAATGGCTGATCCAGAGCACAAGCACAAATTAAGAAAAGGAAGAAGCTGCCGCCGGTGAAGACGAAGACACCGGAGCACCAATGGACCTGATCATCGAGCGAGTCAACTCTCAAATCCCTCTTCCCTCTGTCAATTCTATAAAGACTACCCAAGACCCATCTTCTTTACTTTCTCTCTCTAGGAACCTCTATAACTCTTCCTCCTCCCCCGATGCTCTTCGCTACACTTTTTCTCTAACCATCTTCTCCAGAGGCTTCGCATCTGGATTTGACAACAACGATGTCGTGGTGATCAGCGGGGCCAAGGCTATGCCTAGGGGGCCTCTAATATATCTCTATATGTTGTTGATACATATGATAGTTTCCAATTTTCTTATTTATGTTGTTTAATTGATTTCACAACTAACAGTCAGACCTAATTTTTCTATTTCATGCCTGTTATTGGAGTTCTTATATATTGGGTTTATGCATTATTTTGTGTTTTTGATGAATTCGAAAGATACTGGACTTTCTATTAGTTGAAGTTTATGTATGTGTACATATGCATAGAAAGTCAGCGGTATATTTTAGTCATCAAAGACCCAACCAGTTATAGTGGAGAAGATGAGGGTATTTTGGAAATTTTAATTTATTCAATACACCACACCAGCAAAATCCATCATTGACTAGCGTTAACTGTGACGGAACGAAAGGTTTTAGTTTCGTTTTCAGGGAAGGTCCGTGTAATTTCTGAAACCACAGAGGAAGTCCCTGTAATTAACCCAATTTATAATCAAGTGGAGAAAAATAATGGTACACGGATCACAATCAAGTGCCCCAACAGTTCTTGCCTTAGAAAACTAAAAACCATAGGCTCAGTTTGGCGGCTGAGATAATATTTGCAAGGAAAAACAGATTTTAATTGTAGCCCAGAAACCAAAACAACCCAACTGTACCTAATCCAAGTATCCAACTACAGGTATAATTTGGATATAAATCTTCAGTATATAACATAAACCAAAGCATTTGGACATATAATTCTATTTTCTTTTCTTTTGTTTTTATCACCAACCAAACAGAATGTATTACTATATTCTTTAAAAAAAAAAATGTTAAAAGCACCTCACTTGAGAGAATAATAGAGATGCAAAAAAAATTGGTTAATTTTTAAAAAGCTGCATATGTATATATATCAACACATATACTCCGTATAATTTAAATAAAGAAAATTTAAAAAGAAACATTTTAAAGCACAAACCTTGAAGCTCGACATCGCCATTAGATTCAGTCCCCTGTTTTCCATAAACATAAGAAATGGCAGAATCGGCGAGCATAGTGAGCAAATAGCCAGCACACGCCAACATGAAAGCAAATGGATACTGTTTACTGGTCAAATCCGCAAACGTTTCGTTCGAATCGCTCAGGAAATGCATCAAAGCCGTGCCCAAGAACACTCCGCCGGCAAATTGCGTCCCGACCACCAGAAACCCCTCGTTCCATTTCATGAAGTAGGGTGATATACCTCCGATGAAGGTTCCGACAAATACTAGAATCAAACACCATAACTTCACCAGAATTAACGGTCTCGATCGCAGGTTCGGCTTATCGGAAGACAAAGACGAGTCGGCGTCTTCGTCGTCGGCGTGGCCGCCGTGGGCGGAGGCGGAGATGAGGAGAATGAGGAAAAGAGAGAGGAAAAGAAGAGATCGAGCCATTGGAATTAAAGAGGGAGGGGTGAGCCATTTGAAGGAATTTGTATGGTTTTAAATAGGATTAAGTATTGAATGATTTTGGCAATGTTTGAATTGTTGTACTAGAGAGAGAGAGGGTACTGAAAGACAACGAGATTAGGAGAGGAAGAGAGAGAGTGTGTGTACTGCAAAGACGACGAAAATAGAAAAGTGTACTAACTCAATTAAGACGGAGAGCTTGTACTTTTGCTGATATAGATGAGTATTACTCTTGCACGCATAAAAAAAAAAAAATAGTAATTCTTATATTATTTTATTTTTAAATTACTCACGGGGATAATACTATTTATTAGTTTTCATTTATTATTTACATCACTTTCTTTTTTAATTTTTTTTATTACATGTTTCTGATGTCAAACAAATCACTTCTGGGACATTTATTTTGTTTTGAAATTATACCTCAAATTTTATCGCAAGGATTCAAATGCGATTTTAGATTTTTTTATTAAGAAAATATATTCTTTATTCCATTGTCGAGACAATTTTTGTCCAATTTTGTACTGTACCATACCTTGCGGCACTCCATTAGTTGGGCGATGAACCACTCCCTTTATGAGACCAGTGACCACTAGTTATTTTATTAACTAGCCAGAATAAAAAATTAAACTATTTTGAGATAAATTTATGTTATTAAAATTTACAATGAAATTTCAATTTAAAGAATGCATTTGGATTTCAATGTTCAATCTAACAATTATGAAATATATATATATATATAACAAAAAAAAAAAAAAAAAAATTCTTAATTTTACTTTGGTATGAGTTGAGGATATTTTGAACCGATTATCATCAAATCACAATAAAATACGTACTAATTTTATCAATAAACAGATGCGGAATTTTTGTTTAAGTAACACGCCCAATTAACAAAGTGGAGCTTTCTAGAAGCTTTGTTAAAAAATCCCATAAAGTTGTAGGTGACGCCGTGATGCGCACTGAGATGTCAGAATCATCCCTCGTCGTCGGAGACCAAGACTTCGTAAGGGCAACGAATTTGCTCAAGAGTCTCGATTATTAATTTATGTTCACATATGTATTTCTTGCTATGGACCCCATCAACCTATTCTATCCAGATATAACCCAATTAGGTCCAACACTTCAGCAAAACGGAAGTGATGATCAAGATACTATTGCTACCAGAGATTAACGGTCTAGATCTTTGCACTCTCCATCATCCCCAACCACCGAACCACTCGTGCTTATCTTATTTTGTGGAAAGAAGGAATCTCAGAGCGGGCCCGCTGAGTTCACTTCTACTTTACATTGACGTTAGGTTGGACAATAATGTTTGTAGAAAAATAATGTTTGTAGAAACTGCCATACGATTAGAAATTCTGGTGATAGATATAAAAATATTATATAAATATGTAAATTGTCTTGTGACAACACTATTTGGTGGGTAAAAATCAAGTTTGTGGAACACTACTCTCCAGTCTCCAAACTTGCTCACTTCAGAAAACATGCCATATATAGTTAGCTTTATAGAAAGCCAGTGACACTTTTCTACCTGTACTAGAAAGAGGAAAGAGGAAAGAGGAAAGAGAAAAATAGTGGATTTCTAGCAACTCAATTGAGTAGTAGAAAAGAACCGTCATATACAGCGGTCAACCTAATTTTACATTATACAACAATTAAAGAAAACATGTTGAACTAAAAAAATGTTATTTGAAGGTGAAAAACTCTTCTCTGGGGCGTGATGTAGTGAGATGAACGTGTCATTAGACTATTAGACTAACAGATTATTCGCTCAAACAAAAATTGACCTACACAAAAAAAAAAAAAAAAATGGTTTACAATTTGACAGGTCTTCAATTCATCCGTTTCTTTCACCAAAATGGCCTACAGTTACCCCGACAACTAATAATCCAACATAACTCGGACCTCAATGTCTCCAAAAACGGCTATGCTGCTTTTGCCCTTGCATCCGCCTGCATCAATGACCAAATTAGAATGTCAGCCAAATAATCTTATCACAACACCTTCAAAGTGTAGTTTAAGCCAAATGTGACACCTCCATTGATGGGTATAGAAGGAGAGCTTCCATTTGCCCTCATCTAAAAAATCAAATACTACAAACATGCTGGGACCCTCCACACAAAAATGAAAGACATCAATTTGTCTTCCTAAATGACAGGAGACAAATGCCAATGTAAATCAACATACCAGAATTTTTTTCCCTTCTCTTTTTTATTTTTTAGCATCAATTGCCTCAGAAAATTAGACAGCATGGAACATATATTGTAAAATGGAGCGATAAAAAAAATCTCCAAATCAATGAAATGAGGTATCAATTGAAATTCTAACATTAGAAAACATAAATTTCATAAAAATGGACGTTTACATCACAAATTTCTATGGAAGTATTATACGAACCAAAAACCCAAAATCAGTCCACCTAGTTTTCCAAAGCACTGCGACAAGTCATTCTAAATGATGGAATCATCACAAGAAAATGAAATGATTTTACATAATCTCAAAAAAGATTTAAACATCACTTTGACCTGAATTTTAAACTTAAAACCCTAATAGTTTGAAAGATGAAATGAATATTGTAGCTTTTCGAAAGATACACAATGAAAGATACAGCTCAAGACACAGTAAAGATACGGAATGAGATTCATGCAGTATATCACAGACATTATATATAATCCATGCTAAATTTGAAACATGAAATGAATATTGTAGCATTTTGCAAGGAAACCACAATGTTCATGGCCAAAGCTTATTTGCCCAGTACTTTACAAAGGTGGTTGGCTAAAGATAATTACAAAAAGTGTTCAACTATGAGTTTGCAAGTAGAAAGCAAACACAAATTGAAAAGATACTTTACCTCTGGTGCTCTTTGGAACGCTCAATGAACTCTTTAGCAATATCATGCCCTTGATAAGAGGCTAGTACAGGACGGATATCAGCTGGTCTATGTCGAGCAACATCTGCAGCAAATCAGCCAGCTGATTAATACTGGCATCTAACATAAGTGTAAGCAGTAAATTCGACATACATGATCATCAAGAACACAAGTAGAGTGCCTTGTGTAGATGTAGTCTGATAATGACGATGCTTACATTCAAGAAACGGGATAAGATCCAACAGTGCTGTATCATTTTCTTCAAGCTTCCACGGCTTAATTGGTATGGAGTTTTCTGGCTGAAGGTTACTTTCAAGTGCATGACCACTCACATAAATAACCCTAGAAGGATCTCTGTTCAGCTTTGAAAGATCCTGCAACCACGAAAATTTTATTAAGAGCATTTCTCCCTTTCATGCAAGTAATATTGCAAGTTGTACCAAATAAGTAAGAAGCATCCATCTTAACAGTGCTTCACTAGGTAGAGTTACATAAAGTCGCAGGTATGTTCATTCTAAACTTGGTATTTATTAAAATGATAAACTTGCTCCACAAACTACCATAAACGATTCAACCATGTGTCTGAGTTAAACCTATGTCTCTCTCTCTTGGATTCTCTCTGAGAGAAAGCAAAGGGTAAAACATCAGTCAAAAATTCTTACAGAAACTATAGAGAACATAGGAAAACAGATTTTGAAGACTCTGAAGTTTGACCCAAACATGACATTGAAGCCTGCTTCATGATTCACTTTTTTTATTTAGACCTTTGAACCACCTTGACTACAGAACAAGCATCCTTCTACCTTGAACATGAGATATAATAAACTGAACCAAAAGTGGTGCATAAAGAGAGTAACGGGAAATTTGATAAAGTGGTTAGCATAATCTAACCTTATTTCTCTTTGACCTTGAAATGTGTCATGAATATTTACGAATAAGAAAAAAATGGGTCATGTAAGGCTTGTAAGAACACCAAAAAGTAGACGGATCATTACACTTTCGACATGGTAATTAATCAGATAATCTTTATGATGTGTGTCGGTTAATTCATTACTTTATGATTCTAATGTGAACAAAACTTGGGTAAATAAGATAAGCACCAAAAAGTACCAAACATGGCAGGTTGAAAGAGCTCCAAAACAAAGAACATTGTTTCCCGATTCTTTTTGGACAGGCAACAAAATATATCTTAATTGCACAATTCAGAACTCAAAGATACAAAACAGATTACACTGTGAAACTATCTTTTAGCACCTTGGTCACCAAACATTTCAACACCACCAAGCGAAGTCAAAGTGGCATTCCATGGTTGCAACAATTGAAACATTTCAAGCTATGTGGATCAACATAATGGTTGAACAATGCATTCAAGCACAAAGCACGTCCAGCTCTATTACAAGGAGCGAACACTTTCAATACTGAAATGCATATACAACACCTACACATGATTAATTAAAAAAACAACAACCACATATTCAATTTAACAAACACTGAACACTTTATTTTTTTATTTTTAATAAAACACTTTAAAAATATTATCATATTTCTTTGAAATTTTAAAAAAAATTCTCCATGTTCGGCATGAACATACATTTAGGCTATGCCACATGGACTCTTCAAAAGTACCCATGTCGGACACATATTGGTCGGACATGAGTATGGGATATGTGTCCGACACTTCATGTAGTTAAAAACCATATCCAATCATTCAATTATATTATATTATATATTTAATATTAGATAAAAACATTGCTTTACTATAGAAAATAAAATAAAATAATTAAATAAAATGAAAAATTAGCAGTGTCCACGAGTCCTTTTTAGAGATCTGACACATCAGATGAATAGATACATACCCGTGTCCGACATACATAGCCAAGTCCAGGTAACATAGCATTTAGGGCACAATCATGTGATGGAATAAAAGTCATATGTAATATGTGAAAAAAATTATCAACTTACTCTATAATGCTTCCCGTTTTGATATCTAGTTGCAGCCCTTGATAGCCTAAATCGTATACAATTCTTAGTATCCAACCTGTCAACAATAGGATCAACAAACTGCATATGCCAGAAAAGCAATAGTAGTGTTAATGATGATACTTACAACTTAAAGAAATGATAACACAATATAGGGTGTAAAGAATCAAAATTACCATATTCAATTGGTCCGAATACACTATAATTTCATAGAATTGAGCTAGATGTTCCAAAAAGGCATCAACTCCAGGCCTTTTGAATGTTCGCCAGCCTCTGTCACGCTTTACAAAATAAAAAAAAGAAAAATAAATAAATAAATAAAGACATTAACATCAAGCAACTTAGAAACAAAAACTACATGCTAAACTATTTGGCATTACTAAAATAACTGAACCCTTGTGTAGGACTATCATTGCTCCAAAAGAAGAGGAAAAAAATAAGTAATTGCTCATATAAAACATAACAGTAAGAAATATTTGTAGCTATGTCATAAAACCATTCTGCCAGTTTTTAACAGTGTTAAAATAAAGAAAAGCAATAAAGCATATCATTAACAATCAAACCTTACCTTCCAATCAGAGTATATTAGCGTCTCATTAAGATCTAACACAAGTGTAAACACGTGCTGCTCCATAGGGTGCAAATCAGGGAGGAGCTTATCTGAGGATGGTTCGGTAAAACCCTATAACAAAGCAAGAAGCCTTTAAATATGTTATAAACAAAAAATGAACGCAAGAACAAAAAAAAATAAGAAAATGCAATGGGAAAAAAGATAAATACAGATCAATATAAAGTATATAACTCCTTACTCGAACATGCTCCTCGATCGCCCTCCTTAGATCCAAGTAAAGTTCAACTGACTTGGCTGGCACTGAATTCAGAGAAAGGAGCCAAGTTTGGGATGATAATTGAGAGTAAGAAGAAAAAAAATGGTAATATGATAATGATGATGGTCAAAAGGGATATGCTGAAATTAGAATTTTGCAATTAATAAAATAGCATTGGGGAGTATGTAAATGTTATTTTGCCAGTGAAGAAAGTAGAATGGCCCCAAAGAATGTCATTTTACAACCTCAACCACATGGTTTCTAATCGTTGAAACCTCCAGTAAGTGGAGCATATGGCAATGACCCTAACATTTTTGTGTGAATCCCCTCCTGTCCTAAGGCATGGACTGCATGGTTTTGTCATTTGATGGAACACAAGCCACAAATTGAGGGCACACTGTTTGTGCCACAACACCTTTATTACATGCCAAAAAAACCCATCCATATAACATCCGGTTTCCGCATGACTAGCTCCGGAAATCTAATATAACAATAATGACAATAATAAAAATCTCCGAGTTCTTCAGCATTTCCACATTATGCTTCGTCTCTCCTTTTCACTTCAGTATCTGAATCTTAGCAAACATAGTCAAGGCTAACAAGGGTCTGTCTTACAAAATGATATTTATATATTGCTTTGAAAGAAAATACTGAACAATAAACTAGATATATATTGAAATAAGATGATCAGATCGAATTTACAGTTAAGTACAATATACCTAGCAATAGTTGCTCAGTCCATAAGAAGACAACACATAATGTTCAAGGAATAGAATGCATGAACATAAAATAAGGAACAAAGTATTAGATTAGTAATATGAATATGAAAACAGACCCCACCTGTCATCGCAGCAGAATAGAGCAAACCTTTAAATTTCTGCACAAGTGATTGACAGCAAAATGTTATTCTCTACATCTTACAACCTTAAACCATTGAAGTAAGAATGATAAGTGTATTTGTATCACAAAAATGGGACTCCAATAACATACACAAACAACCTTGCAGGCAACTATATCCACACACAAAACTAACAAAACTGTCTATGCCAAAGCAGTGGTAGCAAAGTAAGGGAGTGTTCAGCATGGCCAAAATATTAAAACTTCTCTCTATTTATTTAGTTTGTGTTCACAAACGACTAATAATAATTAAAATATATATATATATATATATATATAATAATATAAAGACAGTAATCGATGCTTCATATATGCTTCTCTTATACTTTTTTCTTTTTTCTTTTTTTTTTTTTTTTTCTCTCTTGCAAGTTCATCAATCATACACCTTAATCCACCATCTAAATGCGGGAATGAAAATATCACACCGAACAACTTTGTCTCATACAACCTGAAATGAGCTCTAGCCTCTTCCAATACAATGTATATCCTTTGATTAAAGCATAAATTTGGCAAGAGGAATACAAATAGAAGACAGACAAAGGCTAGAAAGATTGAAATTATTCTACAATTAGCAAAAGATGTGGCCAGATCTGAAGCAAAAAAATTAACCAATGTATCATTCACTTTAATTCCTTAGCTATTGTTACATCAGCAAAATTGTTAATAAGTAATGACATCCTTTTAAAGCAGTATTAGTGTGTTAGAAATTTGGTCCATGAAGAACTTTCCAAACCATCCCCCAAACAAAATCAACCACCTTTCACAATTTTTCACACAGTTAAACTAATGGTTAGCAGATTTTTTGTGTGGTGTGATATTGGCATGCACCCAAAATAAAGGTTCAATATGTGGGTGTCATTCTCGTGCAATTGAAGTCCAAACATGAATTTTAGTTATGGCACAATTCCATATTCTAGCAAGTAGGTTCTTGTTATCACAAACCTCATATGTTGGTTTTAGTGGACTAGCTATTGTTTAAATTGAGAGGTTATACAAAACATTGGCAAAAATGCATATTAGTTCAATTATTGCACTTGAAAGAAAAAATCGGCATTCAATTCAATTCAACAATGTCATTTATCCCAATACTTGATGAACAAACCAAATAATACGAAGTAGCTCCTTTTTTCATAATATTTGTTCTTCTTGAGTGGATTAAGATTCGTGACTCTTAAAATTGTTTCATGACCAAAACAGATTCTTGCCTGGTTCAAACAGTTTTTGTGTCTGGGATTTGAAAAATGCAAGATGATCACCATGTTGACATTATCAAAAATTAAAATCCCAAATATATAATTCACACTAAATATAGAATGCTGTGCAGACTCACATCAAGAGCAGATTCATCATCCCCTATGGTATAATTTGCGGATGCACGCAACGTCTTTGTCTTCTCCTCCACCTCATCCAATGTATAAGCTGCAAATAAACATCAGAAAAATATTCTTGAATTGGGTGTGATCGTAGTGGGTTATGAATTATTCATCATCATGCCAAGATACAACATTATGTTTATAAATAGTCATTGCCCTCGACTACATGAGCCCTTCATAACAATTTTTTAGTGTCTTTTGCAGTTCATAACAAGAAATTGACTTTGTGACCTCACCCAAATTTAAGCAATACTAAACTGATGACCAATACAAAGCAAAAATAGCAAAAATAAATAAATAAAATGAGCATCCATAAAGGCACAATATAATTTTTTTCTACAATAACAAATATAGAACTTAATGGGCTGTCATATTACGGTGATTATCAAACCTTCATCCTATGAATGCTCTAAAATTCTCAGCAATCTCCTATCGTTATTCAAGAATCACTAGAGTGATTTAAGCATAATCAATCTCCTTTCTTTTTTTTCAAAAAGATCTACCACAGAGAGAGAGAGAGAGAGGAAAAAAGAAAGATGTACTGATGCAAAAGAGGAAAATCCTGGCAAAGATTGTCACACTTGGCAACATTCTAATGTAGAACTTGCCAAAGCGATTAATTACCTTTAAATAATATCGCTGTTTTAACTTTTTGTGTTTCTGATCTCACTTTGGAAATTTTGGTTTTGGGGAGTGGAATGGGCTGCCATGTTGGGCGTTTGACGGTGAGCTTATGTATTTTAGGGCAGCGTTTGTGAGTCTGATGAATTAAAATGGTCCAAACGTTTTTGTCAAACTTAGCCACCAAGCTTGCTTGTTTGGAAAGTTCCCTTGGTATCCTATCTCTACACCTTTATATAAGGTGAAGAATTAGCCTTCTCTTAGAAAATGGAATAAGAAAATTCTTCATCCATAATAGTTGTGATGTGAAGTGCATATTTTCTTTGGTGTTATTATAATTTTTTTTTTTTTTTTTGTTATTATAATTGCCTAGGCTTCTTACTCCTATTCTCCATTCTCTCTCTCTCCACATAAAATTTTCAAACTTTATTTCTCTAAGTTGTTCCTTCCTCTCTAATAACGATCTTACATCATTTACATTAATTTTAAGTACGTCTGCACTTAAACAAAAGCTCTTAAAATTTTTGTTGTGATAGTGAAGCGAAAAAACAACAAAGACGATCACAAAACACAATATTTACGTCGTTTACACAAAATTTGGGCTATGGGCGAAGAATGACTAACTTTTCTATTCAAAATATGAGGATTACACACAAACTCTCTACTCTCTCAACTCAACTCTCTCACAACTTCTCAGCTCAAAACATGGGTCTCTATTTATAGAGCTCCAAATCCAAGGAATATTGTTGGACAAGGATTGCAATTCCTTGGAGCCCAACACTCCTCTAACAAGAAATTACCTAATGAAATGCAACTCTAAAATAGAAACCTATTTAGACTAGAATTTGAGACATACATATACATTTTCAGTTTTATCAATTAGCGCCTTACTCCATAAAATTGTCTACAATATTTACAAGCACTAATAAACGCCTGAATTGGAATCTTGAAAATTCTAGGTTGTGTGGCTAGGTCTCAAATTTCGAATTATTCACCGTTCAGCCATATCGAACTGGTTCAAGACACTGCTTATGCAATTAAAAAAGCGATTTCAAGACTGAATCTATATCCTGGTTTCAGAACACTAGACACATATACAAAAATAGATTTACACATGTACCAGAAATGTTCTATAACTACGCAGTAGTAAAATGCAAATGACACTAATAAAAAAATTCAAGAAGCAACAAATTTCCAGTAAACAGCAAGATGACTAAAGAAAATAAGTTCTATGATTCAAGAATTTTCAACTAATCATGACATGTTCTAATTCACGTATAACACATCTTTGACATCTATATGTTATATGAAAAAACCTAAAGAATCAAAGACCATAGAGAACACAAACCGTGGGTAACGTAACCAGCAGAAGCAACGCCGCCAGTGAGAGCTGCAATGAGGCCGTACTTGAGAAAACTCCATGGCTTCTTCTCTGTTCCAGTTTCCGGCGGCGGAGGAGGCGAAGTGTGAGGTGGTGGAGGTTGATTGTTGAGGGTAGATGAAGATGAGATAATTGGTTCTCTGGGAGGATCTGTAGTAACGTTCGATGAAAAGCGTCGATTGTTCTTCAAAACGGTAGAAAAAACCCTAGATCGAACTATTGCAGACATTGATTACTCCTGGTATTCAATTAGATTTCACATATAATTTAGGGAGAGAGAGAGAGATAGAGTGGGGGTTTTTGTGGGGAAATTAAAGTAGGGTTTTTGATAAATCTTAACCGGAGAGAACGATAGAATGTTAGAACATTTCTGGACTCCAGAGAAAATGCGGTAAGATCGCAGGGGACCTTTTATGGGCCCAACTAAAAACCCACTTGGTTTGGGCCCAAGTAGTTTAACCCGAGCCTTAACAAATGTGTCCAGGAATTGAGGGCCGAACCCCGAAGGCCTATCTACTACTATAACTTGAACTCTAACCCACCATAATCCTCTAAATTAAAATGGACGAATATTTATAATAAATTGTCTAATTAAATGATTTTTGATTGATTATTTATACTAAATACAAGTAAGTGGCAAACCAACTTACTTAATATTAATTAAAAGATTAGGTCTAACAATTCACTGCATGAAATCATTTTTTAAATGGAGATGATTTTTTAGTTAGCTCACTAAATAGAACTCTTTTTACTATTTTTTTTGTCTGTTTTCTAGCTCATTGCATGAGATTTTTACCATTGTGAGGACTAGAAAAGCCAAATGTATACAACATTACCTCTGAAGAAACTATTTTCGAATTTAAACCAATTACCTCCCGTTCACAATGTTCACAAAATTCTTATTTTTATTTGATTGAATTAGTTGGACAAATTTCATATTTTAGTATCACTAAGTTACTACTGGATCAAGACAATTAATTATAAATCAACCCCTCTTTTAAGTGGTATTTCACTTCTTTCAATTCGTATGTGAAATATATACATATTACAGTAATAGACTAATGTATATACACAGTGCATTCCTCTGGCCTCATGGACGTTAATATATATACAAATCATCCAACATGATATTTCTGTCCTACAAAGTGTGAAATTAATTGGCGAGCTTCATGGTTGTCATGCATGTATAGTTGTTGCAATCAATTCACATGTATATATAATATATGAATATTATCAAATAGTTTTCTGTAAAAATTAAACGTTGATATCAGTTTGGACTATGTTCTTTTCCATTGTTTTCCCAATTTGTATGTAAAAATTAAACGTTGATATCAGTTTGGACTATGTTCTTTTTCATTGTTTTCCCAGTTTGTATGTAAATCCTAATTAAATGGAGTTTACTTAAAATCTCGGCTATTTTATTTAGCCACCAACTTCAAATTGTGAATCGCAGCTCATAGTGATTGAATTACCATTTTTGAACTTGAATATCTTGAAAATTCTTTAAACACTTGGACTCAGTTATTTATTTATAGACATACAAATAATTTAATTGTATAGAAAAGGTGTCTAATTTGCTACATCTCAGCTATGATAAAGTGCATCTCATTGATAAACCATGATTTCTTCATTCTTCGGTTTCAATGGAAGTATGTGTACACATTTGGTTTCAATGGAAGTATGTGTACACATTTACTTGAACATCAAAAAATAAAAATAAAAATAAATAAATAAATAAATATGTCAAATTTTGAGATACAAATACAAGCATCACCCTGCATCAAAAAGAAAAATAGTTTGAGAATTATCATGCACTATAATCAAATTTGCATTTTTTTTTTTTTTTTTCGAATCTAAAGTTTCATCTTGATTGGTTGGTATCATTTTATTTCAAGTAATTTTGACATAATTTTTTTTCTTTTTTATAAATTATATTGACCTTTTTTTAAAATTTGGACAAATTATACACGAATAATTGGGTATATTGTTAATCGTTTATTATTTTGATCTACCCTAACTAAACTTACTCGCCGACTGTCAAAAAGTAACATTGACCGTAAAAAGTAAGTAATGTTCTTATATTATAATAATATATTATATTGCATTTTATATAAGAAAATGATAGAATTGATATTTTATAAATTTTGATGGGAAAAGAAAATGTTGATATTATTGAACACATATGTTAAATCTTAAAAAATAAAAATAAAAAAACAATAATGATGTAATGATTTTGATAAAGATGAGATCACTCATATACTCATGCATAACACATATAGTCATATATAAGACTCATATATATAACAATAATGATGTAATGATTTTGATAAAGATGACATTCCTTATATAGTCATACATGTTGTTCAACACATATGTCAAATCTTAAAAAATAAAAATAAAGCAATAATGATGTAATGTTTTTAATAAAAGATGAGATCACACATATATGTCATATATAACACGTATACAACCCACATGGCAAGCTGTTCCATCACACAATTATCAAGAGCAATTTCATTAGGAATTAGCTGTCCTTGGGAACAAAAAATTGGCAAGTTATAGGCCTCCACGTTAAGTTTTGTCTTCTTTTTGTAGAGAAGGGAAACAAATAATGATAATAATAAAATAAAAAAAATGCCCCCCACACATGTCACACTCTGAGCCCAAACTCCTGCTATATAATATAGTATCCAAGGTGCACACCCTCTACCACTTGTATTTTCTTCATCCCAGAGAGAGAGAGCATGGATCAAAGTGAGCAGTACCAAAAGCTAGATAGTTCGACTCAATACCTAAATAAGAAGGTGATCCAGTTGCTAATAATCTCACTTTCTTTCCTTTCCTTTTCCTTTTTCTCTCTCTCTTTCTCTTCACCGTGCTACTCTTTCTTCCACCATTACTTCAACTTCAACTTGTCTGTATTTCCTTTCCAACTCTTAACCCAATATTTCATGAACAGAAACTATATCTTCCTCATTTGCAATGGAATCTTGGTCCTCCTTGCAAAGACCTCCGGCTTCATCAATATCCGTTCTCCGTCCGTTGACTCTGATCTTAATGATCACCACTTAGGTCTGATCAATGGAGATAGTTTGCAATCATCAACAGAGTCACTAATGATAGAGAAAGAACAAGTTTCGGTGGAATATTTAGATGAAGAACATGAGCCAGCTGGAATTGTGAATTTGAATACAATATTAGGGGGAGAAGAAAAACAAGAAGAAGATGAAGAGATTGAAAAAGGGTCCAGTGGCTTTATAATTCAAGAAGAAGAAGTAGAGGAGGAGGAGGAGGAGGAGGGAAATGATGACGAGTTGTTAAATAGAGAAGAGCTGAACAAGAAATTTGATGATTTTATTAGGAGGATGAAGCAAGAAATCAGGATTGAAGTTCAACACCAACTACTAATTGTTTAGTACTGATTCCTTCTCATCTTTGAATTTCTAAAGAATATTGAGAGTATCGAATCACTCTTTAAATTTAGAATCGGAGAAAATTTAGTTAATACTCTTTACTAAATTTTCTTCAATTCTAAATTCAATTGATCGATTCAGTACTCCCAAATATAGAAATGGTGTTTATCACTATTAAATTCCTTCACAAAAAATTGTCTATTAGGTATTCTGTGTTGCGCTCTCATTCAATAGAAAGATATTATTCTAACATAAAAAGTAATAATAATAATAATAATAATAATAATAATAATAACAACGAAGTTATATATGTTTTATGTGGGGTCCATGTGATTGAAAAATGGTGCACATCAAAATGGCACTTCAGCTTGTATAACAAACTGTTTGTTCAAATGGATTGAATAATCTCTGAGGTCATGTTTTTGCGTGGAGTACAAGGCCACATGCTTGGCTTATCACGGAAGCCAACCTTTGAGCCTACTATATAAGGCCTTGTATGTGTATCATTTTGGGATATACTGAAATAAAGCTTTTCACACTATCTCTCTCTCTCTCTGTCTTTCGCTCTCTCTTTTTGTGAAAGTGTTGCTTCTTTTTCTTACATAATATTACTCTATATATATATATATATATATATATATATATATATATATATCTACACACATACATATATTCATTATACGTTATCAGCACGAGCTCGATTCATCTCAGATTTGAAGAAAAAACTTTATTTCCCTCTTTCTATCCCAACTATATATCTATTTTGTGATATTGGTTTTGATACATTGTTGGGTTGGTTTACTTTATTAAAGAAAATAGTATTTCTGATTCCAAAGGGTAAAAAAATTGTAATTATTAATTATTGTTCACAAAATAAAGTTATTCACTTAAATGATATATGTGCTTTCACTATAGTCGGTTCTACCACCTTGATTAGTTAATAATCTATTAATTATGGTTGGTCTTACCACATTTATTATTTAATGTTTTATGGCTGGTTTTACCGCCTTTATTGTTTAATAATTTATTTACTATGGTTGGATTTATCATCTTTGTTATTTAAATAATTTATATTGCGTTATTATTTCATTCGATGCCATTTTATTTATATACTATGCTAAATTATATTTTTATATTGTTGTCACGTCTAGTTATTCTGAAAATGTCAAATCTGACAAAGCTGGAATTCGTGGCTCTGGATATTTCTGGCAAAAATTATTTATCATGGATTCTGAATGCTCAGATCCATTTGGATGCTATGGGCCTTGGAGACATAATTAAAGAAAACAATGATGCATCATTGCAAGATAAAGCAAAGGCCATGATTTTCCTCCGGCGCCATATTAGTGAGGAACTGAAAACTGAATACCTCACTGAAAGAGATCCACTTTGTTTATGGAATAATTTGAAAGAAAAATATGATCATCAAAAAACAGGCCAGGGCTGATTGGCTGCAACTGAGGTTGTAAGATTTTAAAACTGTGGCTGAATATAACTCTACTCTATTCAAAATCAGCTCTACATTGAAATTATGTGGTAATACTATTACTGATGAACTTTTGCTTGGAAAAAACATTCACCACATTTCACGACTCGAATGTACTCTTGCAACAACAATATCGAGAGCGTAAATTTAAAAAATATTCAGAGCTGATATCATGTTTGCTTGTGGCAGAGCAAAATAATGAGCTTTTGTTGAGAAACTACCAATCCCGTCCAACTGGATCGACACCGATCCCTGAAACATATATTGCCTCATCCCGTGGTCGTGGACGCGGACGTGGACGTGGTCGTGGTGGTAGAAATGAATATGGTCGTAGCAAAAATAACTACCACAATAATGAATATGGTCGTGGTAGAAATCATTCTTATTATCGTAAAGGATATTAATCATCACATTTTCCCAATCAGAGATCCACACCATATCCTCAAATGAGAGATCATCATAAAATAAAACAGGGAAAAGGGAAGGATGTGGCACAACCTTCCAAGGCACACGATAATACTTGTTATCGGTGTGGCATGACGGGGCATTGGTAAAGTATTTATCGTACACCTAAGCATCTGGCTGAACTTTACCAAGCCTCAATGAAAGAAAAGGGAAAACAAAAGGAAATGAATTTCCTTGATCATGATGAGCCAGTTGACACCACAAATCTGGAAATGAATTTCATTAATCATGATGAGCCAGTTAACATCACAAATCTGGATGTATCAGATTTTTTTGAGGACCGTGATGAAATGATAAACTTCCTGATTGGTGATGGAAATGTCCACACCAATTAATCTTATTTTCTTTTCATATTCTGTCTACTATGTTTTTATTTTCCTTGTATTTTCCTTGTATTAAAGTTTTTATCCTTTAGTTTGTATTAAAGTTTATTTTGTTATAAAAGTTTCTTTTCTGATAAAGAAATTTGCATGAATAGGAATGGATCTGACTAGTTCCAATGCAAATGGAGAAGGCATATGTCTTGCAGATAGTGGAACAACACATACAATCTTTCGAGATCAAAAATATTTTTCCCACTTAATTCTGTCAGACGCCAGTGTCAGTACCATATCAGGTCCCACCGACTTGATTGAAGGCTCTGGACGAGCCAACATCATTTTACCACATGAAACAAGATTACAAATCAATGATGTCTTATATTCTACAAGATCTCGGAGAAATCTGTTGAGTTTTAAAGACTTGAGTCGTAATGGGTATCATATTAAGACCGCAAATGAAAGAAATGTGAAGTATTTTTACATTACTTCCATTACCTCAGGCAAGAAGCTAATATTAGAAAAACTCCCTGTTTTCTCTTCTAGGTTATACTATACAACCATTAGACATTTGAGTCAAATGCTGTGATCCATAAAAAATCTTGTGACCCAAAACTTTTTATGCTTTGGCATGATCAACTTGGTCACCTAGGGAGTACAATGATGCGTCGAATTATTGAAAATTCACATGGTCACCCACTAAAGGATAAAAAAATCATCTTACCAAATAATCATCTATGCACCACCTGCTCACAAGGTAAGTTGATTATCAGACCATCTCCTTCAAAAGTCATTGTTGAGTCTCCCCCATTTTTGCAACGAATTCACGAGGATATATGTGGGCCAATTCATCCACCCTGTGGACCATTTCGCTATTTTATGGTCTTAATTGATGCCTCAACAAGATGGTCACATGTTTATCTGTTTTCTACTCGTTATGTTGCATTTGCTAAACTTCTTGCTCAAATCATCAAATTACGGGCACACTTTCCTGATTACCCAATTAAGACAATCCGTCTTGATAATGCCGCTGAATTTTCTTCTCAAGCTTTTGATGATTATTGCATGTCAGTTGGAATTAATGTTGAACACCCTGTTGCACACACTCATACTCAAAATGGTATGGCCGAATCTTTTATTAAAAGACTTCAGTTAATTGGTCGTTCTTTGCTTATGCGAACAAAATTACCTGTTTCTGCCTGGGGTCATGCCATATTGCATGCTGCATCATTAGTTCATATACGACTAACTGTTTATCACAAGTACTCACCATTGCAACTTGTTTTTGGTTAACAACCAAATATCTCCCACATACGAGTTTTTGGTTGTGCTGTATATGTTACAATTGCACCACCCCAACGCACTAAAATGGGTCCTCAACGTAGACTTGGAATTTATGTTGGTTTTGATTCTCCATCTATTATTAGATATCTTGAACCCCTGACAGGTGATGTCTTTAAAGTACGATTTACTGACTGTCATTTTGATGAGACTGCTTTCCGACCATTAGGGAGAAAAAAGGTACAGCAACAACGTGATCTTACTTGGAATGCCCTGGAATTGTCTCATTTTGATCCTCGTACAAACCAATGTGAATGAGAAATTCAGAGGATCATTCACTTGCAAAATGTTGCAAATAAATTACCTGATGCATTTACTGATACAAAAAAAGTGATAAAATCACATATACCAGCTGCGAATATGCAAGCACGAATTAATGTCCCTGAGGGACCTTCTATCAGTAATGCAGCAAATGCATCTAAAACACATCTGAAGTGTGGCAGACCAGTTAGCGCAAAAGATACTGCTCCTCGTAAGAGGAAATCACAAAGAAAAACGGGCACTCCTGAAGAGGCCACAAAAGGAGCAACAGATACTATTGATCAATCTGAAACAATAGCCTTTGATAAGGCAAAGGCTCTTGATGAGTCTCAGGTACCTAAACATGATGAAATAATAAATATTGATGAGGCAAAGGCAACAGATGATGATGTGGCCCTTGATGAGGCAAAGGTACCTGAAAATGATGAGGTCTCATTAAATTATGAAACGAGATGGAATAGAAATGAAATTGTTGTCGACAACATATTCTCATATCTCGTTGCTCTTGATATTGATAATGAGGATCCGGAATCTCAAAATGTCGAAGAATGTCGACGAAGAAATGATTGGCCAAAATGGAAAGAAGCAATACAAGCAGAGCTAAATTCATTAGTTAAACGTGAAGTATTTGAACGAGTAGTCCAGACACCTGAGGGTGTTAATCCTGTTGGGTACAAATGGGTGTTTGTACGAAAACGTAATTAGAAAAATGAAATTGTGAGATACAAAGCTCGACTAATAGCTCAAGGTTTCTCACAGAGACCTGGTATTGATTATGAGGAAACATACTCTCCTGTAATTGATGCACCTACTTTTAGATTCATAATACATTTGGCGGTCACAAAAAGATTGCATATGCATCTAATGGACGTGGCTACAGCATATTTATATGGATCACTAGATAGTGATATTTATATATATGAAAATTTCAAAAGGATTTAAAATGCCTGAAACAAAACCACGTAATATGTACTCGATAAAATTACAACGATCATGGTATAGATTGAAGCAATTTGAACGAATGTGGTATAATCGCCTTAGCGATTACTTACTCAAAGAAGGGTATGTGAACAGTCATATTTGTCAATGCATTTTTATTAACAAATCAGAATCTGGTTTTGTTATTGTTGCAG